CAAAGCTTTAGGCTGACCATCAAAACCAAGTACCGAGCAAATGTACTCACGGCGAAGATATTCACCGAAAGGGACAGCAAGGCAGGAAAAGCCCGAAAAGAAGTGTTCATAGGCAGAGAAGGAATGAGTGAAACCATTCCTCATCATTGGCACCACCACCAGCGCAAAATCGCCTCTTCTAGCGAGCTCGTGAGAAGCTAAAGATGTGTGATAAATCATGCGCGCATCGGCTGAAGACCATATCGAAGGAACAAACACGCAACAAATCATAACATATTTACCCATCAGGTTTAAGGGGGTGCTTACCGCATAACTTCTGGATCTGTTGTTGGGCTGAATGCTAGGATTAGGAATGTTTTGAGTACTGTAGAAACACAAGAGTTTATCACCGAGCAAGTCTAAAACATTCAATTGGTGGCCTACCAAGACAATAGGCGCATGTTTGAAGGCATGGGAATAAATGGGGTATTCGGTATCAAGATACTGTTTGCCAATCTCATTTTCCTCGTCTGTAATAGGTGCGCAAGGTTTGTGGATGTATGATCTCATGAACTGGAAGCAGGTGTTAAAGAAGGAATTTTTTAGACATTGTTGTCGATGCCTCGATACATTTGGAAAGGTTGTCTCCTCATCTGACAGCTTCGCCGTTCGATCTACACAACAAACAAAATTTGAATCAAATCAAATACAACGAGATTGAACTAATAGAAAATGATTGAGTCTTTAATTTGATGGTTTAAATTAATAACCTGATGAAGCTATCTTTAACCTCGATACATTTGGAAAGGATGTCTTCTCCTCTAACAGCTTCACCTTCGGATCTACACAGAAAAAAATATTTTGAATGAAATCAGATCTAACGAGATCGAACTATTAGAAAATAACTCGTCTTTAATTTTTATGGTTTAAATTAATAACCTGATAAGGCTATCTTAAACCTCGATCGGTCGTGACGATCCGAACGTTGAACATTCAACTCTCCACAACCATCATTCACATCTGGAGGATCGCCGCATCGCCTCTCGGCATCCATTCTTTTTCTCCTCAGGCCTCTCTCTCCTGTTTTTTACGAGTATTATTGAAGGAGGACTCCGTATATTTCCATTGTTTTTATTTTACTTATCCAATCATCAGAATCATTGTTTGCTAAATGATTTTTTCACTTTGCTTTTTTATTCGAAATGCCAAAATCTGAAAAGCGAAAGAGAATGGCACTTGAAAAAGAAAAAATGACCCAAATAGTGTAAAATAGGAAATTTTGATAACAAGTAATATCACCAATAATTAAAATACAACTAACAAAAAATTGACATTACTTTTTAAGAGTGATGATGATGAATGAGAAGATAATGCGAAAAAGAGTGACATATTTTAGGGATAGTTTAGATATTTTATTTTTAAAAGTTTGCAAAAACAACTAACATGCAATTTATTTTGGAACGGAGAAAAAAAAGCAAAGAGGCAATTTAAAATGAAGAAAACCCCCTAAATAGGAATAAAACATATATCATATCATCAAAATAGGAGCTCAAAGTTAAACTCCCCTAAATAGGAGTGATCAAGTAATAAGTGATGTTATCCAAAGTCCTACCTGCACCATATTCAATCAATTTTTCTTGACCGCACAAAAAGAGAAAAATGGTATCTTCCTTTTATCTCTGCTTAGCTTCTTCTCCGCACCATCGCACCCACTGCCCTAGCTACCATTGTTGTCGACCCTCTGTCACGATTACCACATCTTCTTTCTGCCATCTCCTCTCCACCTCGTTGCCCTTCCTTTTCCATTCGCGTATAACTTTTGAATTGGGTTTATTGTTTGGGGATTTATTATTTCTAAAGAAGCTCTCGCTATCAGTTTAATTTCCTCTACGTTTCTCAATTAATCTATGTATGCCAAAATCTCTCCTCTTGTTTGGTCCAGCAGAGAAACACCTCTTTTCTCCGGACCGTTTTGATGCTTTTGAGGCCCAAAAGGTATTCGACGAAATTCCCCTTCCAAAAGCCCTTCTTTTTTCTTTGTGATTTTTTACCTTTTTTGGACTCTAATTATTGATAGTGAGTGCTTTAGTGCATCATCTATTAGTTGTATGATGTTTTGTGTATATTTTAGCTATAAATAGCAAATCAAGAATACATCTTTGTCCCCCTAAAATGACTTATTTTTTTAATTTTTGATTATTGATTTGGAATGCACATATCGATTAAAAAAAGCTTTTAGACAATAATTGTCTGATCTATGGGCTATTTATCTTTGTGTGACACTGTCAATTTGCATCTAAAACATTACATATGGGAATTTGTGACATTATGCATTATCATTTGTGACACTATGTGGTATAATGTTTGACACTATGTTTTTTAACACTGTATTTGGTAGCTAATGTGTCACTGTGATATCAACAATGCAAATTGTGTTTATGCTGTTGGAGACAGTGGTAGAGAGCCGTGATGTCAGCAGTGAAGGCAAAAAATCAACGACGAAAATGGTGGATTTTGATTAAAAAAACTTTTGATTCTCTTCCCGAATTAGAATATGAAACAAGAGGCCCATCATTCCTCGTGCGACCCGAATACTACTTAATCCCACGAACTTTTTCTCTATGCAGGCTAACAAAGACTTCTCTCAAAAGAAAGAAAACCCCATAAAAGGCGAAAAACATCGGTTAGAACTTGAAAATTATGCAAAGATGACAAAGTAAGGCATCAAAATAGTTTGATGCTAACATATACTACCTCCATCTCATTGTCTTTGTCCACTTTTAATTTTTTGAACTGTTCATCTAAGCACTTTTACTCATCAAATTCTCTTAATGTGTAAACCTAAAAATAGTCATGTGTGATCTTGTTTGATTTGTCTTAACATATAGATTATTAATATATAATTTGTATAATTTTTTAATATACAAATTACAAGATAAAATAGATTAAAGAAGTGCATTGGATGTTGTGCCAAAAGGTAAGTGGACAAAGACAGTGGGACGGAAGGAGTAATTAACATGTGTGATATATAGCATTATACAATGACATATCTGTGTAATATGTAACGGTTCACACCGAAATATGTAAAAGTACAAACCATAATAGGGAAACAAATTATGATACATAAACGTACATACGGAAATATACAGTGACACATTCAGAGCAGAGTTATCACCGGAGAGATGATATAGTAAGAAAACATATGTAAACTTATTAAATATTTAAGTTTGAAATAAATAAATTAAAAGAAGCGCTTCATTTGTAACCTTACAAATGATTTATGGTAACAAATCATGCCTTTCTTTCTCAAACAATATTCTTTCCTCGTTTTCACATTTTCTATAGAACTTTCAAGTTGACACTTAAGATAAAATCAAGTACCATTTTCATCAAATTACAAGTTTAAATTACAACCAAACAAATCCAACCCACCCACCAAAGCCCAGTCAACTTCTTGACTCAATTCATTCAAATTGGAAGGAAACAAAATGTGCAGCGGCCAATTTTCAGAATACTCCTAAAACCCTTCAGGAAACCCAGCAACATTATTCCTCTTTCCGCCGCATTGACCACCGGCCCGGGGACATTAAGAAATGGACGGGAAGGGAGTGTGTGAGAGAAGATTAGATTAATTAAATCAATTAATCCTACTTAGAAGAGTTTAAGTTTCAACTTCTATTTTGGGAATATGCCATATCTTTTACTCTTAGTTTGGTCCTTATCCCTTTAAAATGGGACGAAGGGATTACTTTATTACTCAATTTTTTCTCTTTTTTATTTATTTCAAAAATTAATTTTGTTTTTCATTTTTCTAATTTTTATATTAAAAAATTTGAAAGTCAAAGTACCTTAGAGAAAATTACTAAAATAGAAGTAAAACATAAAAAAATATTAAAAAAAAGTTCTACGTCTTTATTCCAGAAGTAAGGTTACAATGAAGATAAAATAGTAATCTTTAAAAAAATAAATTTGATTACATTATATGACATGTCTGATATTTAAAATAAAATCTTGTACTCCGTATTATATAAAATATAATTGCAAATATATTATTTTATGATAAATACTGCATAACCATAATAACTTTTAAGTATTTAGCATATTGATATTTATGCTAATTTTATATTTTAAATAAAAAAAATTCAAAAGTAGTTTTTTTTATGAAAAATAATATATTTTTTATATTAAAGGCATCCATTAAGATAACATGATGACAATAAGAACAACAACAACAACAATAATTTATAACAAGAATTAGAATAATATAAAACACACAAAAAAAAGGTTTTTTTTAGATTTTCTAATTTTGTATGTTTCATATATGTTCAGAGAAACAATTAGAAAAAACATTAGTTTAATGTTCAATTCCCTCATTCAGATATGCAAAGGGCAATTAATTAAAAGGAAAATGCTAGGGGTACACCTTTGGTGTACCCCATTTGTCCCTCACTCCCTCCATTACCCCTTAAATAGGCAAGAAATTTAAAAAAAATTAAGTAAATAAAAATAAAAAATAAATGAGTGGTTATGAAGGGGGTGGTGTACAAATAGGGTACACCTTTTGGTGTACCCCTAGCATCTCCCTAATTAAAAACATAAAACACGTTGCAACAATGCCATGATGTGAACCAAAAACCCAAACCAAAGTTCCCATTTGAGAAGAAAAAAAGCATCACATAACCAAAAAAAAAGATTCCAATAATTTTTACACTCTAGCTCGATTTTACACGTAAGGTCATTGTATCTAGACATGCCCAAATGAAGGAACCGTTAATGAACAAAGAATTGGCTGTTATTATACATATATCAGGTGGCTATATAACAGTGGTCGCTAGTCCCACAAATCTAGGGTCGTACTATAGTCATACCACGGTAGAAACTCTGCTCTTATTTGCAGCATATATATCCTCACTAATGGCTATCATTCTGCCAAACAAGTACGTTCCACGGTTCAAAAACAAAGCAATTAAATTACAAAATATAACATTTTTTTAGTTATTTATTCTCACATTTACGCACCTGTCGCATGAAGGGAGATTCTCGTATGGGATTCTCATCCGCAAGTCAGAGCACTGAAGCCTAATGAAGCCGAAAGAGGATAAACCATAGTATAGGTACGTAGTGACTCGAAGATTCGTTTCAAATGAGTTGCTAGAGAACAGAGAACAGAGATTCGTTTCACTATGTTACACTCATTTCGTTGAACATAGTTCAACTCATTTAGAGGATTCACTCTTTATAAAAGACTCCAACACAGAATAATCAGACGAGTTAAATTCCACGCTGGAAGCATCCCAACTTGACGGTTCAGACCTGTTCCCTGCTCTACTGCTGGCACAAATGTAATGTAGAGACCCCAAATATTGGATTTGCTAAGCATGTCTCCCAGCAAGCCCTCTTGATATACACTGGATTTTTATATAAAAAAAATTGAAAGATTAACATAATATGTGATCATATTAGTTATTACATTTTGAACACCTTTTATTTGTTTTAGATAATTTCTAAATCAAAATATAAATTAAGACCTCCAAAGGAAAGAGTGCTCCTCTCTGAAACCCTCCATCCAGGGTACCCTAAGGGGATGAAGGCTTTTGGATTGCTAAGTATAGAGCTTTATAGACTTTGAGATTTTATTTAAAAAAATGAAAGAAAAATATATAGTTAATCATATAACATTTTGATGATGCTGTCATTGTTTTCAGATTTAGATGCATTCCATTCATTAGGATATATACGAACTGCTTGAATAAAGATGTTCGGCATTACATCAGACAATGCACAATTTGTCAAAGCTGTAAGTATGATACCAGCCCTTATCTGGGGTTGTTACAGCCCTTACAAGTACCGAATGAAGTTCGGAGGGATATACCTATGTATTTTATAGAAGGCTTACCAAAATCTGGAGGAAAAGAAGTCATCTTTGTGGTGGTTGACAAGTTCAGCAAATATGTGCATCTCAAGACCTTAAAACACCCCTTTTCTGCAGCTGAAGTAGCCCAAGTATAATTGGATAGTGAGTTCAAGTTACATGGATAGCCTTTAAACCATTGTGAGTGACAGAGACAAAATATTTTTAAGGGAATTTTGGAAGGCCCTGATGACTGTCCAAGGCACAGAACTACTACTGTCAACCTCTTGTCATCCTTAAACAGATGGCAATCAAGCCTTTCCAGGTAAAGAGTCCTTTGGTTTTTTTTATAGGTGCATCTCTACCTGAACGTCCCCCTGTAGGCGAGTCATGTACCCATTAAAGTATCTGCAATCTCAATTCAGAGTTTGGTCCTATAACCAATCTTCCCTTGTTTCTTAAGAGATCTCCTTGTAAATTGTAGTTTTTTACTAGCTTCCCTTGATGTAATTGAGCTATGATAGCAGTTAAGTGGTCATGCTGATAACTCTCCTTAATAAACTCTAACACATCAGATTGTATCCCTGATATGGCCATGGCCAGCAACTCTGACCCTTTGACTCTAAATAGAGCATCTGCCACAGTATTTTCTCTCCAACTCCTGTACTGTATCTCATATTGGAATCCCATGAGCTTGGATAGCCAAAATTGCTGAAAAGGAGTTGACAACTTCTGCTCTAATAACCACTTCAAACTTTTTTGATCTGTAAGGATAATAAAAGGCTTACCGCTTAGATATTGTACCTATTTTTGCACTGCATGGACTATAGCTAGCAGCTCCTTTTCATAAACAGATAATTGCAGCCATGTAGGTCAGAGTGTTTTACTTAGGAAGGCCAAAGGATGGTGCTCTTGCATAAAGACAGCTCCAAACCCATGTAGGGAAGCATCAGTTTCCACTGAATGTTTTAGTGAAATCTTGCAGTCCCAAAACTGGAAAAGTAGTGAGAGAAGACTTCAACCTTTGCAATGTTTGAGTAGCTACTGAACTCCAATGAAAACTTCCCTTCTACAACAGTTGGGTTAAGGGCTTAGTAATGGGGGCATAATTCTTCACAAATTTCCTGTGATACACTACTAATCCCAAAAAAACTAACTCTTTAACATTGGTAGGATTAGGCCAATCTTCTATTGCTTAAATCTTTCTGGGATCAGTTTCTGTTCCTTCTCCAGATGCGAAGTGCAATAATTATTCAGTCTTATCAGTACCAAACTCACACTTGGATAGTTTAGCCTTCAATGTGTTGTTTTTCATAATATCAAAACCTGCTGCAAATGGGTTCTATGAACCTCCATTGAACTGCTACAAGCCAAGATATCATCAAAGAAAATCAAAACAAATTTTCTTAGGAAAGGTCTGAATACTTGATTCATCAAGCTCTGAAAAAGTAAGTCCAAATGGCATGACAAAAAACTCATAATGTCCAGAGTTTGTTTTACATGCAGTCTTATAGATATCTCCTTCAGCCATTCTAATTTGGTGGTGTCCAGATCTGAGATCAATTTTTCTGAACACTTTAGCTCCTGCTAATTCATCCATAAGTTCATCCACCAAAGGAATAGGAAACTATCTTTGATGGTTTGCTTGTTCAGTTCTCTATAGTCCATACAAAGCCTCCATGACCCAACTTTCTTTCCCACCAACAACACTACAGGAAAGGCAAAAGGGCTACAACTGTGCTGAATGATGTCCTTCTCTAACATCTCATTGATTGGACCTTCAATCACATCTCTTTGTTTTAAAGCGTACCTGTAAGATCTAATGCTTATTGGTGTTGATTCAGATTTCAGAGGAATCATGTGGTCAAAAATACCTCTGGTAGGTGGTAGACCCTTTTTTTTATCTTAAAGTCATTCATTAAGATAATATGATGACAATAACAACATCAACAACAACAACAACAATAATAATAATTTATAACAATAATAATTAGAATTAGAATAATATAAAACACACACACACACACAAAATAAGGTTTTTTTTAGATTTTCTATTTTTTTCTAGTTTTTTTTAGATTCTTTTAATTTTTTTCAGTTTCTTCTAGTTTCTTCTAGTTTTTCCAGTTTCTTCAAGTTTCTTTCAAGATCCATCTCTTTTTTCATGTCCTAAAGAAAATGCTTTGAGTGTCATCTGTAGAATGTCCTTAGTAAGACCGCTACCAATGTGCGGCCCTGAAACAATTCATTTAGCTTCAGAGTAATTTATTTTCCATCTAATATTCCTCTTATTTTATTTCTCTCCCTAGTGTTTGGATTTCAAATGGACCCAAACTGCAAAGGGTGGGAGGATTTCTCATGGGGTCACAAAACCATTGAGGAAAGTGTTCATCAGTAGGGACATAGCTATCTTATGGGATGAATGTATCTTGACCCTTACAGCCTTACTTGAATCCAATGTGGTAGACGTAGGACAAAGAACGGGTTGGGCTGGTAGCCCGTGGATGTTACTCGTATTTTAGTAGTGTTTCCATTGTGAGGAGTATTTAAATTGAGAATATAATGTGCATAATAATATTGCAACTTCACATAATGTTGTTGAATATATACATTAGAACTAAGCATGCCATTTACCATCTCTTTTGGTTTTCCCTTCTTTCTCTGCTCGTGATTTTATACCGCACTTCTCAGATATTTCTCAGGAATTTTGTTTCCATACTCTCCACATCTATCGATCACACCTGAACCCATGATCTTATTGCTCATTCATACACAGATTATATTCAAAGGGACTATTGCTTAATCTGATAATAAAAATACTAAACAAAATAGTAAACAAAAAATCTGGAAATAAATATTAAATAGAAGCATCATTCAGAGAAGGTTTAAAAAGGGTACAGAGTATAAATTACACCTACATGTGCCTACCCTTAGGCCCTCCAAAAAAAATAAGGATAAAAAGAAAGCAGGCTCACAGATCTACTAGTAAATTAAACAGGACGGCTGGGATGAGCACGGCGGCGGGGGCAGACCTCCTTCCCTCTGGGGCTAGTGGGACCGGATCTACTTGCACCCTGGGTTTTTAGGGGTTTCAGATTTGGATTTCACTGTCATTCACTCCCGTCGCCTCCGTCAATTGTCCCTTCCTAGTGACCGGAGGACGCATATAGCCTACAACTACTCTATTGTCCCTTCCCAGCAACCGGATGCATAGTAGATGACTTGATAGCCATGAGTAGAATGTCGGTGGTTTTGTCAATGCATACAAATGACCCCTGGGACGACGATATATAAGTGGGAATGTAACATGCATTGGGAGCCAGGTAGTCAAAGTGCTGCAGCATGATACATGTAAAGAAACCCAGTCTTATAAAATTCCTTAGCAATCTCCGCATGTAGATTATTGGCATGGAAAGGAGGGCCTTGACATTCCATAATATGAGACGCATCCAAAGATTGAATCCGACCATCTTCCCCAAATGCAACAACCACCTCGTCTGGCCTACATTGACGATGGAAGAAGTATTCATCACAAATTTTGGCTGACTTGAATGGGTCTGCAGGGCACACCGACCACTCCGTTTCAAGGAACCAATCAGTATCACCATCAATGCCATCCATGCTCACAGTAACCACCACCACACTAGATGAATGCCCCTTTCCCCTAATTTCATTCTTATACCATGCCGCCAGTTTATCACCATCCTCATACCCCCACCATATTTTATTTTTTTTTTCAAAGACCTTCCCCCCTTTGTACATATAAAGAACAACAAAAGGCATCTTCTCAAGCACTTGTGCCAAAGGAACCTCCTCATCCATATTATTGAGCCTTTTAATTACATGTTGTTCCCAACAGGAAGGTAGTAATGACTTCAATCTCAGTCCCATTTTCCTTTCGAACTCCTTCTCGATCAAATTCCTCCTGTTGAAGGGATAAGCGTCCACGCCGCCAAAGTCAGCCATGACTGGAAATCCGTATACATCCACGTACTTTCTAACAGGATCCACAATGAAAAGGCCATCCTCCTGACTGTCACTTCGCATCCGACATAGCCTATGGCTCACAGTGTTGTTGAAAGGCAAAAACCACCAGCCTAGCAGCTTAACACTCTCAAGAGCTTCAATCATAAACTTCTCCATCAACTTTGGGGGCTCCATCCCAACAAAGGGAACACCCACCACCACAATCTCAAGCTCACACTCTTTCCCCCGTTTACAACATTCCTTGTAAACCGCCTCAAGCTCATATAAACTGCTACCATCAAAGCACACATAAATCCCCACAAACTTTCTTTTAAGTTCTGAAATAGTTATACCACGACGACCATCCTCCTCATCCTCCAACCGATCACTGCCAGCATGATAATACCCAATGTTGTAGAGAACATCAGTGTCTCTAAGGCCCAAAAGCTCATTGAGGGAGTAGTGATCATGCCAACCACGTTCATGGCGTAAATAAGCACCCACTCTATCCGGAGTGAAGGGAAAAGCACCACCCTCAGCTCCTCCAAACCGACTAAACATTTTGGGCTGGCCATGGTAAAGCACCCTCTGAGATGGATCAAGAATCAAAGCTTTAGGCTGACCATCAAAACCAAGCACCGAGCAAATGTACTCACGGCGAAGATATTCACCGAAAGGGACAGCAAGGCAGGAAAAGCCCGAAAAGAAGTGTTCATAGGCAGAGAAGGAATGAGTGAAACCATTCCTCATCATTGGCACCACCACCAGCGCAAAATCGCCTCTTCTAGCGAGCTCGTGAGAAGCTAAAGATGTGTGATAAATCATGCGCGCATCGGCTGAAGACCATATCGAAGGAACAAACACGCAACAAATCATAACATATTTACCCATCAGGTTTAAGGGGGTGCTTACCGCATAACTTCTGGATCTGTTGTTGGGCTGAATGCTAGGATTAGGAATGTTTTGAGTACTGTAGAAACACAAGAGTTTATCACCGAGCAAGTCTAAAACATTCAATTGGTGGCCTACCAAGACAATAGGCGCATGTTTGAAGGCATGGGAATAAATGGGGTATTCGGTATCAAGATACTGTTTGCCAATCTCATTTTCCTCGTCTGTAATAGGTGCGCAAGGTTTGTGGATGTATGATCTCATGAACTGGAAGCAGGTGTTAAAGAAGGAATTTTTTAGACATTGTTGTCGATGCCT